CATACAATTATATTACTTTATAATACTTTTTGCTTTAGTAATGTCAGTAGTAATATTCACTGTTTCACTTCTGATTCTAGTAATTCATGTCTTCCCTCTTTTTTTTTCTTGGCTTATCTGACAACTCTGTCACTTGTGTTTGTTTCCAAAGAATAAGCTTTTTGTTTACTGTTTTTCTCTATTATTATTTTTCTCTTTAGTTTCTATTCTAACATATCATTTTCTCCCTTTTCCTTGCTTTAGACTTAGTATGCTATTCTTACCAACATCTGAAGGTAAAAGGTTAGATTATTGATTTGAGGTCCTTCTTCTTTTTTAATAGAGACATTTGCATGTGAATTTCTCTCTAATTACCGTTTAGCTTCATCCCAAAAGTTTTGCCATGTTGTTTTCATTTTCATTCATTTCAAAGCATTTTCTAATTTCCCTTGAGATTTCTTCTTTGACCACTAGTTATTTGTTATTTAATTTCTACATTTTTGAGAGTTTCCCAAGTTTCTTCCTGTTATTTGTTTCTAATTTAATTCCACTATAGACAGACAACATACTTTGTTATTATTTATCCTTTAAAATTTATTACATTTGTTTTATGACCTAGCATATGCTATGTCCCTGAGAATGTTTCATGTGTACTTGAGAAAAGTGTATACTGCTGTGATGGGAAGACTATTCTAGAGATCATTGTCAGGTATAGTTGGTTGACAGTATTATTCAAATTATCTATTCCCTTTTGATTTCCTGTCTTGTCGTTCTATTCATTATTGAAAGAGGGTACTGTAATCTCCATTTTTATTGTTGAACTGCCTATTTCTTCCTTCAACTCTCTTTCTGTTTTTGCTTCATGTAGTTTTGATGTTCTGTTGTTAGGTATGTATGTTTTTAATTGTTATATATTCCTCATGGATTGACCCCCTTATTCTTATTAAATTTTCTTTTTTATCTCTACTAACATTTTAAAGTCTGTTTTGCCTGATGTTAGTATAGCGACTATAGCTTTGTTGCAATTGCTTCAAAACTCTGTTTGGAATTGTCAAGAATTTCGATGGACARTATGAGTCAGTATAGAACTTGCCTCTCTTCTCTTTTCCTTTTTTTGGGGGAGCGCTTATGTTTCAAATGAAATATTTCACTAATTGACAACATGCCCTTGAGTATTAGGGATGATCCATTGCATAAAGATGGAACTGTCTAGATGAAACTGTCTTCATGGGACTGGTTAATGAGTTTTTATCCTCTCCATTTCATCCTCAATAAATGAAATAATATTCATCCTCAATAAATGAAATAATATTCACCCTCAATAAATGAAATAATATTCACCCTCAATAAATGAAATAGTTTGTGTCTTTCTAGGATTTTACACATCTTTCTTAAAGTAACTAAGAATTCTCATGACTAGGACTTGGAGGTAAGGAAAATGAAAATTAAGGGAAAGGAAATCTGGGAAAAGTTTATAAAGATCATAAAAATGTAAATGTGCTAGAAAATAAGATATTTACTCTTAAACCCTTCTGAGTCAAAAATATCCTTAAATTTCAGGAGTCATTCATGTGCTCTGAACCCAGCAGTATTCCCAGGTGATGCCAGTAGGAAACAGAGTAGAATAAGGATGGCATGCTGGGGCCCTGATGCTTCTTAATGTGCCCATGACTGCAGATTTCAAAAGGAAAAAACACATTTTAAAAATAGACAAAATTCCATTCTGAGCAAGGGTCCCTGTTTGATCTTTCCCTGTGTCCAAGCACACTTCTTGTCCTGAAGGATAAGTGACAGTCCAGATACTCCCATTGGGTGAAAAAACCTCATATTCCATGCCAGTTTCCTGTTACTGCTTTGAGCTCTAAGAGTTCAGAGAGGTGAGGGCAATGTGACCTTTACCTAGCTATGTGTTGGCATGCATCCCTGGTGACAGTGTGTCTGAGCTGCCAGTATACTGGCAATCTTTGGAGCAGGTCTTCCTCACTCTTTTAACAACCAGCCAATTTGGTCTCAGGAAACCACTCTGCAGTTGTAGCTGGGTTCAAAAGTCATTTTTAATTTTGTGACAAAAACAAATGTGCCCTACGGGAGTAGTAAGTGGTTTTACTGGTGATATTAATGGAACCATGACCTCTTCTGTATCTATGGTCCTACAAAACAAAATATGTTTGTATTATGTCAGACAAGTTCTTTCTTAGCCCTTCCTTGAAGCAACTGCAGAGGAAGTATACTATTAATAAGCCAGAGAGTAGTGGTGTGTGTGTGTGTGTGTGTGTGTCTACAGTCATAAGCTCATCTACAAACCCAGTGGATTTATAATGACACCACTGTCATAAAAATCATGTGGTTTGAATTGTGTTTGAATGAACATAAATCACTGAAGTTCTGACATCTTTGAACAGAACTCTTATGGGCCCAGTGCTGAAACTGAAGTTGGCTTTTATTTTAATTACTTGCTTATTTATTTGCAGTACTGGGATGAAACCCAGGGGTACTTTACCACCCAGCTCTTTTTATTTTGAGACAGGATCTTCCTAAATTGTCCAAGCTGGATTGTAAATTGAATTTGCGATCCTCCTACCTTAGCTTCCCAAGTAGTTGGGATTACAGGCATGTACCACTTAGACCAGTTTGGGATTGGCTTTTAGAGGCCAACAGCAGTGGTAAAATTTAAGTGTTYAGGGATCCAAAGAGACAAAGGGGAAGAAGAAACTCAAGGCTTATCAAATTAGCCACTCTAATTCTCATTTGGAATTAGCATTTCACTAGCCTAGAAATGACTCTACTGATGTTTACTATTTCCTGTAGGAACTTTTAATGCCAGTGTCCTTTGTTTTTCAACATTTTCATGGTTGTTTAAGGAGACAATAAATTAAATATGAAGGATTTACAGTTTAGTTGAATGAATTAAACCATTTCCTGGTGTTTGTGTTTACCTTGGGAGTCACAAAGGAGACAAAAATGTAGACTCACAGGAGGAAGGAAAGGAATGATCAAATCCCAATAGTTCCTAACTGAATGTCTAGCTCAGCAACTTTATTTAGAGGAAGAATTTAATGCTGATAAGAAACCCTTGCTTCCATTTAATTAACTTTTCCTATATGCATATGTTCTACACACATTGAAAGTTCCTAATAAACATACAACTTTATTAATCCTGACAGTTAATGTCTCATTCTATTATAGAAGACAAAACTAAATCAAATGCAAAAATGTATACATTTTCTTAAGTTAAAACATACTTTATAATTTGTTTTAACTTTAATTGATTACTATTGTAAAATAATACAAAATCATTCTAGAAGAAGGTAGATAAGAAAGTAACTCATGGAGCTACCACCAAAGATAATTATAGTAACATTTTAGTGTATTTGCTTCTAGTCTTTTCTATGCCAGCATGCGTCTGAAGTCAAGGTGTTTTCAAGGACAAGCCCATTCTGACACTTGTTGAAGAAAACATCCTTGTCTCTTGCTACCCTCTGGTGGTTTCCCTCCAATCCATGGCATTCCTTGGCTTACAGATGTCACATCAGTTCCCCTCTTTGTCCTTAGATGGCCATCTTATAAAGAATGCCAGTCATATTAGATTAGGGGCCCACTCTGCTTAGTGTACTTAAGTACATTTCAGCAACCCTATTTCCAAATCAGGTTACTTCAGAAGCATGGGGTGTGGGGGAATCAGAACTTCAAACATATCTTTTGTTATTGTTCTGGGGGGCACAACTCAACCCCTAACAATCAGTGGGTCCACCATCTGTTCTAGGCAACCACTGCCTGWCGACTGTTCTTGTTTTTTCCCGATTCATTCTCCATTCAGCATACTCACTTGAAACTAATGTCTGAAATATGATATGTCAAGAGCCATGTAAGGTTTTGAACAACCAATAAAAAAAAAAAAAAAAGAATTTCCTTAAATTAATGTGGATAAATAAAGAGAAGTAGCCCAAAAAAAAAAAAAAAAAAGAATTTCCTAACTGATTGATCTGAAAGGACCAGTAGGCAGGTGAAAGCCTGGCTGGTTCTTTCGGGTCAAAATGGAGAAAGTTTACTCTGGGCACGTAAGGCTGGAGCCAAAGTGGGAGAATCAGAACACAGTGATTACAGAAGAGATGGCTGCCTGAGGGGGATTCCTGAGGGCAAGGGCAAAGTGGACAGTGATAATGTTTCTAAAAGCATCTGATGTTCATTCTGGTTGGAGGTGTGGGGGGGGGGAGTTCGCAGGAGGGATGATTTATAGGAAAGCTAAACAGGAGGTTTGAATCCTCTTTGCCTCTGAGATGGGCCAAATGCCACACTTAAAAGGAGGAATTTTGGTAAAAATTTGAAGTCTTCCAGACCTCTCTGCAGGGACTTGCATTTATTTTGCTCTTAGTAGATAAGAAATACATACTAAAGAAACAGATCTAATATGCATACGAAATAAATGCAGTTTTCAACACTGTTTCTCACACTTTGTACCCTCCCCCTAAGCAGCTCAGATTTTCTTATTCATTATTCATTACCAAGAAAGGTCTAGAAAATCTTTAAATCATGCTTCTATCATCCAATGATAATCCTCTAACCAATTACACTTCTGCATCATCTCTAACTCCAAAGGGAATTAACTTTCCACACTGCACCTGTGGCTTTGAGTTGTCACAAAGGCTCTGGAGGGTGCTTCCTGGAAAACTTAGCATAGCTGTGGTAAGAACAGTCTCCTTTCTCTCTCACTGCACTTCTATAGCTTTACCCCACAGCAGTCCCCCATATCTCACTTGCATATTAGGATATCAGAGCAATCCAATTGAAAGCCAACAACTGAATAAAAAAATTTGGTTTTATTAGGCAAACTTTCCTTTTCTGGGCAGAAACATAGAAGTCCAAATTCAGAGACAAAAGAGTATGAATTTAGGAATTACTTTAAGGGGAGTATGGTATATCCTTGGCTGTGTGTTGAGTACCTCACCAACTACCGTGTCTACATGTTTCTATTTCAATCACTTTTATGTTTTTTTTTTTAAACTGTGGGTTTTTTTTTTCAGATATAGGTAGACCTTTCATAGAAATGTACAGTGAAATACCTAAAGTTGTATATATGAAGGAAGGAAGGCAGCTTGTCATTCCCTGCCGGGTTACATCGCCTAACATCACTGTTACCCTAAAAAAGGTAAAACTGGGCAATGCTACTTTCAAGAGTGTTTTTATTGCAAATGAGTATAATAAAGTTTTAATCATTTTGTCTCTCTGAAACAATTTTCTTAGATATTTGGGCTTCTCAGTGGACTTATCTATAGTATCCTTTTACTACAAAATACTATTAGTTATACCTGTACATGCTTTTAATTTTTAAGTAGGATAAAATAATAATTTCTTAAGCACAAATCTACATAAATAATGAAAGAACTAAAATCACAGAGCTTTTAATATATATTCGTAAGTCCAAATGTATGCAAATGTGAGAAAAGCCAATTCTATTGCTTGTACAAATTAATAACTTGCCAGTGGTTCATCAAGATCAATGCTGAAGACAGACTGTCAKCAGGGTGCCTAATTCTCCAGGCATTGACATGCTCTTGCTTCATGCCATGAAGCCATCACCACGTTTGGTTTAAAGTTGAGGAGTTCCTGGTGACCAAAAGAAAAGCTTACCTCATGCTTGCTGGGTACCCAAATTTAGCCTTTTATTAAAAAAAAGGGGGGGGGGGTGGAGAAAAATCCATCCATGGGACTTTTCTTTATATTATGCTGAAAGCTGTAAAAGAGATTTAGAGTGGAATCCAGTAAAGACAAGCTTCAATGTGACATTCTAGCTAATTCATCAGCAATTAGAATTAGGAGTATACTAGAACTACGGACTGGATAAAAACTCCCCAAATGAAAGCTGTACCAAATCTTGAAAGCTTAGAGCTTTTAAGATTAAACCCCCAATGCAGCACCTCACACTGTTCACCACATAGCAGGTACTCCAAAAGTGTTTGGTGGTAGTGGTGGGGAAGTTGAAAGTATTCAAGTTGTGAGTCTCATATCACCTATTAACGCTGAGACCTGAAGTGTGATGAGGTATCTCCTTGACTTCTTCCTTTGCAGTCACTTTCCTATATTCCTAACTCAACTTAAGCCCTCAATGTAGTCCATCAAAGTTAGATTTTGGCCTCTATTATATCTGTGACCCATTGCCAGTAAATATAAAAATCACTGGATATCACACCAGAGAAGTCTAACTCTTCAACTGATCTCGAAAATATTGGGGACTACTGGCCATACTAAGCATTACAGCCAAAATTCTGACTTCCCATTTAGGTATCCCTGCCCAGAAATTTCTTGAGGCTGCCATCTCCCTGTCTACTTGAGTGTCTCATATGACATCCACCCTTCCTACKTAATGGTTTAGTTTGCATAAGAGAAAGGAGAACTAGAGCTACTCAGAGCAGAGGCTGGTGCCACACTACCACTAACCTACTGGCCAACCAAATGACCCAACCTCTGYCCACCTCAGTGACCCCATTTGATGGGTGGGGTAATTACAGTGGTACTGCCTTGCAGGTTGTTAGGAAGACCAAATAAGGCAATATATGGAAAGTATTTAGACCAGTGTCTGACACAAGACATGCCCAATTAAAGGGTCCACTGCTAGTATTGTTTATTTTTAATTTTAATACTCAATACTTGATTTATTACCAAGTCATGTTTTCAGCTGCATGGCATTACACCTCTTGGTCTAAGATAATAATTGCTACATGATCAACATGTAGGAGAAAACCATGGGGAGCCACACATGGTGGCACCTGCCTATAATCCCAGCAACTAAGAGGCTAAGGCAGGAGGACTACAAGTTGGAGGCCACCCTGGGCAATTTGGTTACAGGAATAGGGAAACTTTGCTCTTTCATGCAGACCCTAATGGAGATGGGTTTCCTGTCACAGGTAGAGCAAAACTAAGTTATTTACTCTGTTTTACTACCTAAGATCTATAATGCACAATTTTTTAAAAATTGAGGGAGACAGAAAAGGGTAAAATTCTAACCAATTTTGGTTTGGCATATGCTAAACACAGAAAATATTCTAACTTATTACATATCTATGCTGATGTAAAATTAACATCTTTTCCTTCTGTTTCTCTTATCACCTCTTTTCTTCTAATTCACTGCCCCCTACTTCCCTGTGAACCACTGTTAGGTAGAAGCAGGTAGCCCTGCCCAGAAATTTCTTGAGGTTGCCATCTGTCTGTCTACTTGTGTGTCTCATGACATGTAGCAATGACCAGAGCTGATGGGCTGCRCAATCAATTACTGTTTTCCCTCCTGTCAGCAGAAAACAGTTACTTTCTCAGTGGAATAATATTAGTGGAGGCAACAATATGAAAAACTTTAAAAGAAATGTTAATATATTTTTAAGTTATACTGAGGAAATCCATTAGCAAACCTTTCTTAGATTCAGCACATACTTATTTTCACTTATTTTAAAAGTATCATAGATTTAAATTCTGAGGTTTTTTTTTCCCCTTGTTTGTGCCAAATTAGAATACAAGGTCCTTTCCCCCACTGAATGCAGAGCATTCTTAAGCTAACAGGTAGAATCTTGATTTTCTAGAACATGAAAGGAATTCTTCAATTGATTTCAGTTCTTCATAAACAGGATGTAATTAACTATAAGCAATACCAATGTAGATACACCTACTGGAAGAGAGAGACACAAGTGACTTCTGGACTAGAAATTTCTTCCATTGGATCACAAGTCCAGATTCACAGCTTCAACAAGCAACATAAATACTTGATAAGGGGAGAGAGAGGAGGATGTCAGATATGCCATTTGAGAGGAGACAGAAAAGATTTCAAACATCTTTATGGAAGTTATTAGATATTTCCTTTATAGTCTGTTGRGAGAAGGTAATCTGATTTTTTCCACTTTGCCAAACTGGGGACAAGTAATCATGGTAGTATRTACCTCTGAAATTGGGCTGGCAACTTGGCATCTAAGGAATTTGGCTAGCCGGCCTATGGAGCAATGACCCTGTTCTCCCTGCTGGAGTGTTTAATTTAAATATTAAGTCTTGGAGTCTGGGAGTATTGTTCAGTGCAGAGCACCTGCATAACATACTCAAATTCCAGGTTCSATCCTCAGGACCACACACACATAAAACTCCTGTATATTGTAAGAAGGCTTGAGAATACTACTAAGAACTTGAGGTCACTCCATTTGTAATGGTTTCCCTGGCCTTCAGAGGCAATCCTCACTGTCAGTGGCTTCCCCTCTCAGAGGAAGAATTGACACCTTCTTGTGATGYAGCAGGACTCTCAGACTAGCCCCAGCCAGTATAGCGTTAATTTACAAATCTTGGAGGATCTAGAACTATTAATAGTCCCTTTAGAGACAGCCATGTAAAATGGGAGAACAAAATTATGACTTATTAAAATTTCCAAAAGATGAGAATAGCTCAGCAGCCCATTGAAAAATGCTAATTGGTTTCTCTGTTGAGTATAAAGCCAGTTTACTATCAAGATTCCCACAGGCCAGAGATTATGGTATGGGCTCCCATCAAAAGTCTGACATGACAGSGAGTTCTATCCTGGGTGGATGCAGGTTTTTGCCAAGTCTGAGAATATATTACCATTAATTACTATAGTGTATCATAATACAAATGTATCTTTTTTTTTATTGTTGGTCGTTCAAAACATTACATAGTTCTTAACAAATGTATCTTGATGTATGAAAAAAAAAACACACTAAAGAACCAAGAAACAATCCAATTTTTACCTGTACTGTTTTTTCATTTTGGATGAAAATTATGTTTCCAATGAAAATTTTGCCACAGTGCCAATGTGATTTTTTTTAAAGCATGTTTCTTCCTTTTCAGTTTCCATTTGATACTCTGATCCCTGATGGAAAAAGAATAACTTGGGACAGTAGGAAGGGCTTTATAATATCAAATGCAACATACAGAGAAATAGGACTTCTGACCTGTGAAGCAACAGTCAATGGACATTTGTATAAAACAAACTATCTCACACATCGGCAAAGTAAGTGATGCTCCAGGGGCATGAAACATGAGCCAGAATATTCTGTGGCTTCTCTGCCTAATGAAATCTTGATTTTTTAAAAACCTGTCTCTTCTGTTTTCAGCCAATACAATCACAGATGTCCAAATAAGCACACCAAGCCCAGTGAAATTACTTAGTGGTCACACCCTCACCCTCAACTGTACTGCTACCACTGCACTGAACACAAGAGTTCAAATGACCTGGAGTTACCCTGATAAAGTGAGTAACCCATTTCTTTATTTCTTCTTCTGCACACTATTCATTTTTACCAAGTAAAACCCCATTGGGTTTTGAGATGAGAAAATTCTGACTCCTGTGACAGTTGTTGGTCAATAAAGAAGCTTTGAGCTTGGACTGGGTGTTTTCCTTGCCTGGCRTTCATCAGTGTGATGTGCATAGATACCATCTTTTGATGTCTAGGGGTTTGTTTTGAAGTGTGTTGGGTGCTGTTCCTATTGCATGATTCTGGGTGGAAAAGGGGATTGTTTTGTCCCTGGAAACAATTCTTTAGGATTTAGAGATGAGAGAGGAATTTATCACTAAATGCCAGGCAGGGACTGTCTTTTGTAATGACAACAACAACATTCTGGAGGCTGTTTTTGTCAGCACATTCATTTAAGGTACTGGCAGACATTCAGGCACCTGATTACAGCATGTTTGGAAAAGATACTACAACCCAGTCATCCAATATTCCATTTGTTAAGTGTCAAAGGAGCAATTCTGTCCTTCAGAAAAATGAGAAGAACGAAGCCTGAGCCTGGATCCCTTATTCAAATATAATATCCTTTCAGATAGCAATTCTTTAAAAAAAATGTGTAAATGGAAAAAAGATGATAAACTGTTCAGAGAATTCTGACAGTAGTTCCAGCCCCCAAACTGCGTATGACTTATGTGGCATATACCAAGTATGATCATTTCTTATGTCATTCAGATTACCCAATCACAAAGCTAATTTATGATAAATTATGTATAAAAGATTAATGCATCATCCCCAAGCTATTGTTGTTTCCCATAAATATTTCTTGCCATGGAAATTGAATCATTCAGCATCAAGATGCAATAAGCACCCTATAGGGATACAGGGACTTAGGAGTCATAAACTATTTTCTAGAAAATAATATTGTTTCATTTAAATTAAAATACTATGACTTGTAGCAATATTTTATAAAAATCAAATATTCTCAATAAATGCCAAGAGGGAAGAAACTTTTTTATCTTGGTAGTGTTGCTGATTTAATTCAAGAGTATTGATAGTACTTCCATTGAATGCCAGAAATCTAAAACGGTATTGTCCAATGGAACTTTCTGTGGTGGAAATATATTATACCTGTGCTGACCAATAAAGTAATCACTAGCCACGTATGACTAATGAATACTTACAGTGTGGCTAGGTGCACTGAGGAAGTGAATTTTAATTTTGATTAATTTTAATTTAAATAGCCATGTGTGACTGGTGGCTGCAGTACTGGACAAAGCAAGTCCAAAACACAGGATGAACTCTTCTCCAAGGCAGAAACAATACCAAAGTTATTCAAACTTGGAAAGAAAAGAATTCTCAAGCAAGCAATAAAGCCTATGCAAACAGGCTGCAGCAGAGACTCCTCAGACTGTTAGGTTAGGGGACTAACTGACCTTTGATAGTGGTGACTGACTTTTCTCTCTGGTTACTACTGARAATAAAGAAAATGGCCTGAACATGTCTGTGCCAACAGACATGAAATAAAAAGGCAGGTGAGTCGAAGTTTATTAAACAAGGCAAAGAGAAATGCTAAGCTCAAGATCCAAAGATCAGTCTGATTGGTTTTCAAAGTCTTTTTTTCCATGACCCACCCCAACCCCCATAGGAAAATGTTGATAAGAGGAAATTATATATTATGTGTTTGAAAATGAAAAGGAGAAGGCACTGTGATCTTGTCTTCTCAAAACAGTGAGCAGGTCATTGCCACCAGTTTAGACTACTGTGCCTCAAGGGCTTCTTTTGGTCTTCCCTGAGATAAATGTTGGACAACACCCTCCAAATGCTGGCCAAACTTGCTTGTCCCAGATCCATTTGCCAGGATTTTGCAGGAATTGGCAAGCAATTCTCACAAAGTGAAATAATGAAACAAGGAGTATTTTACCTTAGTAAAATACTAAATAGAACTTAGTTCTTTTCATTTCCAGTAGTAGCAAAGGAAACTTATGTAGTGATTTATTAAGAGAAACACTGTCATTAAGCCAGGTAATAAAGATAATTATTGCTCACATCTGTGTGTTCCAGAGAACAGGTTACTGTGYAGAGAGGTATGTGTCCTGGAGTAAAAATACTAGATTTGTGCTCAAAAGTTCTGAGTTTCTGGCATACTTTAGCCAATGTCTCTGTGGTTTCAGTTTCTTCATGGGTAAAAGAGGCAATGATTCTGCCCATGTCACAGGGGTTGTATAAAACAACTGAGATGATACATGTGAAAGTCAATTTGAAGAATTTAAGTGCCAAATGAAGGCTGGTATGCTACATAATTGAAACACATCTAGACAGATGTAGTTTCCAAACATCTTGCTCTAGGTGGATATGGTATCCTTCTCAGAAGAAAAAAGCAGTGCCTGTCAAAATAATGAACTGGGAACTGTCAAAATGCTATTACTTTAAGCATGAACAGTTATTACATCTACCTTTGTTATATGTTTTCTTTCTATAGACAACTAAGAGAGCTTCTGTAAGGCAACGAATTGACCAAAGCAATTCCCATGCAAATGTGTTCTACAGTGTTCTTATTATTCACAAAGTGCAAAACAAAGACAAAGGACTTTATACTTGTCACGTGAAGAGTGGACCATCATTCAAATCTGTTAACACCTCAGTGCATATATTTGGTAAGCAATAATTCAGCATTGCCAACTCAAGTTATGCTTTCAAATCATTGTGGACTTCAAGTTCTTTAAAGGAATAAACGTTCTTTTGGCTAAGTGTTACACTACCACAAATGAATATAACTTTGCCACAGTTTCTTCCACCCCACTGCCAAAAAGCAAATCACATTAAGTGCTCTTTAAATTTAATAATTTTGAATTGGACAAAGATTCTTTTCTTTAGAAGCTCATAATAGTTAATACCCAGATCATAAGATATTTATGAAATTCTTCATTTAGTGTTCCATATAAACAAAACAGGAAATGGTCAGCTTTACATTTCTTATCTGGGAAAACTTTCTCAAGTACTTCCATGAAATAAGGAATCAAAGGAGAAGGCACTGTGATCTTGTCTCAAAACAGTGAGGCTTGATACATTTTTTGATAAATAAACATAAGGCTTGATACATTTTTTAGAATTAGTGCTATTTTATCCCTGGTTTTATTATCATGAAATCCTAAATTTGTTGCTTAATTCCACTATGAAAATTCTGTAGAGAAAGTGCTTAAAAACCAATTTCCATCCATTGTTGAAAAGGAAAACAGTGCGAAGAACAAAAACTATGGAGCAATTCTATCAAAAGCCATTTATTTCCTTTTGGCTTTCTCGGTTATTTTAAAGGCCAAAGAAACTTTCTCCCCCCAACTCATATTTGCTGAGAAGATTTTTTAGAAATATTGCCCACTTTTTTGTTACTGTGATACAGATGTTTCAGATGTTTCCTGTAGCTCTGACACTGTTTTATGTCTATAGGATTTTCCACCGTTTCATTTGAAAGTATTTCATCAACTAAGGTGCTTTTAACATAGTTTATTCATTGAGCAACCACTGGGTTCACTGATTTGGTACCATCATAACTCAGCTCTCTTTAGTTTTTTATTGACTGCACCCTCCCTTAATATTCAGGAAGGTTTTTATTACTTTCTAATGTACTTATCACTTCTCCTTTCCAAGAAAAAGCGTTCATCACTGTGAAACATCGGAAACAACAGGTGCATGAAACCATAGCAGGCAAGCGGTCCTACAGGCTCTCCATGAAAGTGAAGGCATTTCCCTCACCAGAAGTTGTATGGTAGGACCATAACCATTTTCATATTAGTTTAGGACATATTTTGCAAGTAAGAAGATGCAAAAGCCCAGTAACTTAAATTCCTGAAAGAAGTATCCAGAGAAAATTCTTGGGCAATGCTGGAGAGTAGAAGCTRTGTTGACTTGTGGGTGGTGGAGGGGAGGAGGACTGAAGGGGAGGGAAGAAATGCATCACGATGAAACAGGAGATGGGGGTGGGGTTATTGCTCATTTCAGCTGAGATAGTCCCTCAATGACACCAAATTTCTTCATCTCTAACCTTCCTGTGATGTCAACACTCTTTGAATGAGATGTGTTGGGCAACAACTAGGAAGCATCTTGAATGTGTAACATGCTCTATTAACTCTGAAGAAGTGGGCCCTTGTAATGAGGATGCTGAAAATAATTCTTTTATATACAGCTGGGTTGAAAGTACCAGTCTTGTTTTAGAATTAAACAAACATTAATAGAGACAAGACATTCATTTGCAGGAGTGAGCAAATGGATTTACTTTGAAAGCTGCATATTCAGAAATTACTTAAACAGTTTTTTGTTGTTGTTAATAATCCTAGTACAACACTTGTTGTAAAGCGGTGTGATCTATTTATAATCTGCATTTTTGTTAAATTACTTTTAAACACTAATATATTTGGTTTGTCATTACACTTTAAACAAAGTGTAAGGTATAAAGCTGATTAGGATAACAATCCATGCAATATTGAAATGGTAGTATTTTGGAATTTCCTCAACCAGAGCTAAATTACTTGGCTTTCAATATCACAGGAGTGATATATTTGTTTTCTATTTCCTTGAATATTTCATAGGGAATTAAAGAAAAAAAACTTTGTGTTATGTATTCATGCCATTGCAATAGAAAAATAACTTTTTTGTTGTTTCATAATATCTTAAAAGGGTTAACAGTTAATCATTAAATTTTCTAGTAATTTAGAGACCAGGAGATATACCAATGCCTGAGTGTCACCTTATCTGTTCATGCTTTTTCAGTAACTAAGTAGCAAGGGCCTAAAAATAGTTCAACCCATCTTCAAAAGTACCAACTTAATGGTTAGAAATAAAGCAATTCTAAAATGACCCTGTAATCACAAAGTATAACTGTCATTTTAATTGCTTTGGAACTGAGCCCCACCAATAATGGGGATTTGTTTGCAAGACTGTGTAATACCAGCATGATTATAAACTGATACCATTTCCAATATTATACCTTTTTTACAGAACACAATAAACTCCTCACAGATTAAAAATGCCCACTTAAAGAACTATGCATTTAAATGAAATMCCACAATTTTAGAGTTTTTAAAAGGGATCTCTGAAAATCAGTAGAAAATCTGAAGACACTAGGCTTAACCTCTGGTCTTACAGTGTATAGTTTGCAGCAGAGCCAGGCCTGCATCCAGACCTCCTGACTTACGTCTCTACATGTAACTTGATGACATCAAGTCATTGATTCTATATTTAAAATGTTTTAAAATTGCTTTTAAGTTTATAGTTTGTTTGTTTTGTGTCTTAATAGTTCTTCCTCAGGGGAAAATACCTTGATTTCACTATAGTTTTGCTATGAAAGGGACAACTGGTGTGCCCATTTATATAGCTAATAAGAACTCCACATGAGATCACAATAGGAACGTCTATTTTTATTTTTATCTGGAGAAGTGATCTAGTTGATCTAACTTACAATGGCTCTTGTACTACTCATGGAGCCTCAAGGAAAACTCTGAAAAACAAAAACTCTGAAAAACATCTCAGATGGAATCAGAGCTTGTACTGCTGTGTTAATACTTAAAGTCAAGATGGCTACCAGCATCCCTGTGGGTTCATTAAGCCACCACTTTTCTTTCTACCTTGGTTCACTTTTTGCTCTTTGCCAATCCATATCAAGTAGTACCCAATCTATAAACAATACCTGCCTTTACTGCAATGTTGGTGAATAAATTTTTAGACCAATGTTGATAAGTCAAGGCTTGAAATTGATCAACTTGAGCTTATATACTGAAATGGCCATATTATCAAAGTGATATCAGAGAGGCATATGAAGTTACTTACTGATCATGTTTTAACCACAGGCTAAAAGATGGGTCACCTGCAACGGAGATATCTGCTCGATATTTGGTTCATGGCTATTCTTTAATTATCAAAGACGTAACTGCAGAGGATGCAGGGGATTATACAATCTTGCTGGGCATAAGGCAGTCAAATGTGTTTAAAAACCTCACTGCCACTCTAATTGTAAATGGTAAGTTTACAGTTTGTACATTCTTTGGGTCCTGATAAGGGGAAAATTAATGAAGATTTATCCAATTCAAAAGTCATTATAATAATGCCAAAAAATCTTAAAATTGAATTAATTTTTGCAGTATAAGGGGTTGAACCCAGGGCCTTGCACAAACTAGACAAGAGCTCTACTACTGAGCTAAATTTCCAGCCCTTTACATTTTATTTTTAGATAGGGTTTCAGTAAGTTGCCCAGCTTGGCCCTAGAACTTGCAATCCTCCTGCCTCAGCCTCCCAAGTAGCTGGGACTACAGGTGTGCACCATTGCACCTGGCTCAAATTTTTAAATAGTTGTTTTAAAAAACACTTCTGTACCTCTCAATTATTTCTTGTTTGCTTATCTTCAATAGGCAACATGATTTTTATAATTGTAATCATAATGTGTATACCTTAGAATCAAATTATTAATGTTCTCAAACTACTTCCACTTTTTAAAAATAGACATTTTCTTGACAGATATAAGGGCTTGTAATGTTTTTGTTTCCCWGACGTTAAAACCAGTGAGACTGCAGTCCCTTATGTAAGGGCCAGAAGAAAGTCATCAGAACAGTTCTTGACTTCTGTCCTTTTCTTCATCTCCTTTCCAGTGAAACCCCAGATTTACGAAAAGGCAGTGTCATCATTTCCAGACCCAACTCTCTACCCACTGGGCAGCAGACAAATCCTGACTTGTACCGCCTATGGAATCCCTCAACCTGTAATCACATGGTCCTGGAGCCCCTGTAACCATAATCATTCCAAAGCAAGGTAGGGACAGTTCATTTCTTGACTAGCTTTTAAATACTTTTTGCCACCTCAAATTAAGGTTAATGGACACAGTTAGGAGTTTACACAAACGTGCAGTGTATTTAAGGCAAAGGCTCTCCTTGCCTTGGAAACAGGTAGGCAAGAGCTACTCCTCTTCCTTACTTTAAGTAGTTGATTTTATGTGGTGCTAGGGATGGAACTCAGGCCTCAGRCATGCTAGGCCAACTCCCTACCACTGAGCTACACCTCCAGCCTTCTCTTTCCTACTAAACATACCTCAGCACTGGTTCATTCTTACACACGTTTCTCTAGAGTGTATAGTTAAGGAACACAGGGATATAACTAAGGTCACTTATGAGCTGTCATTTGCTCAAGTTAGAACCTCAGCCCTCTTGTTTCCCAGCTGAGGATCCCCAGACATCAGCTACCCCACTGTGTCAGTTATACTGGTCATCCCACTTTTCATTTTATCTTCATTGGACACCATTCAAGATCTTTCCAACACTGATGACCAACTGTTTCTTACTTCGGAACTTCAGTCATGCTTTTCCATCTATCTGAAATGTACCTCTACCCACTGCCTGCCTCATAAGAAGTCCTTCTTTATCAAACCCCAAGGCTCAGCTCTTATATCACCTTCTCTGTGAACCCACCCAACTGCCTCATTTCWCCCTGAACAGTATGAAAAGCACTTTATTCACACCATTGCAAAATCAACTGATATGCACATGTTTCTCTTCCTCTGAGCTATGAATTAACTGCCCTGTATCTTTAGGGAGTGTCTGATACACAGTAGATGCTCAATGTGTATCTGCTGAATGAATACACCCCTACCCTCTGTGGATGTGCAGCATTTCCTTGCATCCTGTTGATGATGAACCCCGTTTGCTTTTTCCAGTTTTGGTTTAGTCTGAAGGGATGATACCAATGATATAGTTCATGAGCGTTCATTTGAAAAACAGGAATAGAATTGATAGGTGCAACAATAAGGTATTATTGAAACTGCCCAAGAATTATCATTATGCCAAAATATTTTCTTTATTGCTTTTAACTCCACTTGCAGAGTGGGAAGACTGTTGTTTTAAAAAGAAAATTAGCTTGATAAAAAGTAAACTAGGCATAATTTTAGCATAAACAGATAGAAGAGGCTATTTAACTCTCTAGATTCTTCCTGCAACTCCCAACTCTTCATTTTGTGTCTTAATCCTTTGTTTAGGACGTAGCAATAGTGGAAAATTACTGGTGAGTTATGGAATTCCTGAGAAGCAGCTATTTCCACACATATCTGATTTCTCATTTGAGTGTCATTTTCTAAAAATAGAAGTATAGAGAACTTGAAAGTCTTTAATACCCTCTTTACCACTATAGATATTTCACTCAAAATTCAGTGAGATCTGATAAGACCTTGTATTATTTTGCTAAGTGAAGGTAGGATACCTATTTATAGACTCATTCTCATAATGCTTTGATATATGTGCTGACCTTAGATGCAAATACATTTAAAATAACTAAAAAGTTGACATTAATAGGGTAAAAGTGTATAGTTGAATTTTTATGGAATAATAGTCTTTTATAGATATTTTAATTTTTTGTTTTAGAATTGAAAATTTAAATTTAATATCAATTGGGGCTGGGGATGTGGTTCAAGCGGTAGCACGCTCGCCTGGCATGCGTGTGACCCTGGTTCGATCCTCAGCACCACATACCAACAAAATGTTATGTTCGCCGAGAACTAAAAAAATAAATATTAAAAATTCTCTCTCTCTCTCTCTCTCTCTCTCTCTCTCTCTCTCCCCCTCTCTCCCCTCTCTCTCTCTCCCCTCTCTCACTCTCTCTTTAAAAAAAAAAATTTAATATCAATTGAATTTCAGTTGCAACTATTAAAAAATAACAAGGAGTGACATAAGTAATTTGGGGTTGCATGATGCTGATAAATTATGATTTGGAGAATGATAGGAGCTGAAGTAAAACTTTGTGAAAATTAGCACTCTTTTTAATTTCTTTGTGGTATATGGGATTTTTCCTCCTGTTTCATGGAATACACTCACCAAGGCCTGGGAAGACATCTTATTCCTTTTAGAATTCTTCCAAGACTCAGAGCACAGCCTTAAATATTTGTTGGGCATTTGAATCATTCTATTAAAATCATTCACTTTTTGCTACTCACAGGACAGATCAGAAATGAAACATTTAACTGTTTTCATGCTGGAGATAATTCATTTCTTCAATATGTTGTTGTTTCAAATTATCTGCCAAAAATGTGCACATCCAGAAGCAGCTTTCATTCTTTAGTGAGTGTATACCAATGGAACAGCTTATCTGCACAGGCCCAGGTTTGGTGCTGGGTGGTCAAATTAGTGTACTTAGAAATATTTCTGAAATGTATACAAGATCATTGTACCTAGGAAACTAATAAAACAACTCTATTTCACCCTGTCAGATAGATAAAAACTAACATTTATAGATAAATGAAGCCCTCTTTAATTACTAAAATTTCTCAACTATGTCTTTATGTAAATGTTTTTATATACTAAATTAACTTAGGAATTTTCATTACTGACATAAAAAAGGAATGTTCTSTAACACTTTTGAGTTGTATAGTAATATATCTGCATAGTGATACATATGGTTGATCTTCAAAGGAGATTGAGCAACTAATGCTTACACATTGCTCATAAATATGTAGACTGATTCTTAGTGTTAAAATTTGAGTCAACCAGGTGTAGTGGCACATACCTGTAACCTCAGTAACTCAGGAGGCTGAGGCAGGAGGATTATAAAGTTGAGGCCAGCCTCAGCAACTCAGCAAAGCCCTAAACAACTTATAGAGATCCTGTCTCAAAATTTAAAAAAAAGGGGGGGGGGCTAGGGATGTGGTTCAGTGCTAAAAGTCCTCTGGGTTCAATCCCCAGTACCAATAATTAATCAATAAATTAACTTGAGACTCCAGTTAAAGGGCAACTCTATATATTGCCACAGGTTTTTTGTTCTTATTTAGTTGGTTTTCTTAGTACTAGGGATTGAACCCAGGGATTGATGCATGCTAGGCGTCAATTTTTTTAAATTTGAGACAGGGTCTACTAAATTGCCCAGGCTGACTTTGAACTCATCATCCTCCTATTTCAGCCTCCCAAATAGCTGGGATTATAGGCAGGTACCACAGTACCCATAGCAGTTTAATTTTTGAGGACACATTATATTTATTTTAAATAGCCCAAAATTAATTGACTTAACATGGTCAGCTACTTTACGTATTTAGGTTTAAAAAAAAGAGGACCAAATTTAGATTATCTTTCCTGGAGTCTGATAAACATGTAAATGTATTTAAAATTATCAGAACTATTGCTCAACTAGAAATTTCCTCCTTTTTAAAAAGAAGTAGTAGGGGCTGGGGATGTGGCTCAAACGGTAACKCGCTTGCCTGGCATTCGCCATTTGCGGGGCKYTGGGTTCGATCCTCAGCACCACATAAAATAAAATAAAGATGTTGTGTCCACCGAAAACTAAAAAATAAATATTTTWAAAAAAGGAAGTAGTAAAATGTTTTATGTAAATGACTTGTTTTAATGAAGTAATATTGTGGTTTTGCCTACAATTCATTMTTACACAAATGTATAAGAAGCTATGATGTGGTGTTGCTTGATAGAGTGACTATAGATAACAATTATGTACTGAATATCTCATCAGAAAGGATATTGAAAGTTTTCCCCGTGAAATGATAAGTTATTGAGGAGACAGGTATGCTTATCCTGATTTAAACATTCACAATGCACACATAACAAAACATCATATAGTATGCCAGTGTTATGTATAATTTCTAAATTTTTATGTATCAAGTTTTCAAAAGCCATTAGGAATAAAAGGGAGAAAAAGATGGTTATTTTAAATTCACATAGCTAACGAACCAAGAAGAAATAAAGTGTACTCTTTCTGTGATTTTTACATTTCGGTGTATTTGGGTGTTAAGTTGGTAAGAGAACTAGAAAATTTCTTTAATATGTTTACTGATATATTAAAATAGATTACCAAGACTGAATGAGGAGTTTGGGATTTTTCTCATCTTAACAATTGGTAGAGAGCTCTAAATAAATCTGCTAAACCTGTTCCATGTTTATCATCCACAATGATGTTAAGTTTCTAGTAGCTCTCACATGTCTAATTCACAGCTTCTTCTCATATAAAATAATTAAACACTTCACAGAGAGAATATGAGGATAAAATGAGATGAAATAAGTGGGAAAATACACAGTGCTGTGGAAATGCAAGGTTGTACTTATTGCTACCATTGAGGGGAGTACATTTCTCTAAGACCCAAGATTTCTAAGTAACTTGGAAGGAAATTTCTGCCTGCTATGGAATTTCTTATGACAGTGAGAAACTATACCAAATATTTCTGAGAAATGAACAGAAATTGTGGAAGATAATATGCACTCTTTCTCAGCTTTGAAAATGGAAATCTAGTAGGTCTGAGGGGGAAAGGCCATAGAATTCTGGAAAATATAACTTGGGACTTTTTCAGAATTAGATAAAATTAAGGAACTATAAAAAAGTTATAGGAAAAAAGTAACAGGAAGAATAAATTGAAGGATGYAAAGGGAGAATGAAGTAACTCTCCCAGGTCACATGGCCTCCCCCATTCATTAGTTTCCCAGTCATGGGAGGAAGTGATTCTGCCCTGCATAATGGCTAAAGCTGGGGTGGGGTAGAATGGGCCTGTGGAATAGCTGCCACCATTTCAGCCAGCCCACATTTGATTTCTGGAACTTCACATACCCCCTGCATTTTGAAGAAACAAGTAAGACTACTAAGCTTCTGGGGGGTGGGGTGCTGGGGTTGTGGCTCAGTTGTAGAGCGCTTGCCTAGCCATGTGAAGCACTAGGCTCGATCCTCAGCACCACATAAAAATAAGTAAAAGGTATTGTGTCCATCTACACCTGAAAAATTAAAAAAAGATTGCCCAGGGCAAGGAGGTTATTAGTCTCTAAGGGAACTAGAGACAA